TGGCCCCGGCGCTCTCCTCCTGCAAGTTCAGCTCCACCGGGTTGATGTCTACACCCTTCTGGTCACATCTTTGAATTCACTTTAGCTTCTCAGATCTCTTGCCTGGCAGAACCAGAAACATTTTCTCCGCCTGGGTCCCACAGAATGCTCTGTGCTCTGATCCCACCAGGAGCAGACTCCAGAAGGGGCCGCTGGTGAGACCATGAGTTAAGGAAAACTTCCTGGAGAACTGGGTCCTATCACAGTCATTTGGGCCTGGGCTCGCTGGGTGCCAAGCTCTGGTGTGGTGATCACTGAAAACCCCCCTGGCCTGCCTGGTGGTGTGGAAGGAAACCCTTGGAGTGTCTGGAGTGAGACTCCAATGAGCCTGTTTGAGAAACTCTGACCCTAGAAAGGCAGATGTTTGGCCCATTGGTTTTCTCAAGCTATTTGTGCTCCAGGGGACTCCTAATCCACATGTTTCCTACTAATTTACCCTTCATCCATCAAAATATTATTGTGCAAGAGCTTTTTGTTGTCTCAGAAGCCTGATGAGTCTCTGAAGCCCTTCTCCCCCTTTGTACCATGAAACTGTGTGCTTAATGGGACCAGGAGCTAGAAAGGCTAGAGGCTGTGCCTTGAGTGGTGAGAACAGCCTTGCAAACAGTCCCCTGCCCAGCACTGCAGGCCGGTGTGATTACGCCAGGTGGCAAGAAGGGACGCCAGTTTCCTTTATATGGCCCTTTGTGTTGTGCCTCTAGGGAGGGTCCAGCTCCACTGGAAATTCAGTAAATCGTCCCATTCAGTCACTCTCTCATTGACCAGCTGTTCAATGGGCATCGCTGCACGACAGTGGGCATCGTCCCCATGTTGGGCATCCACATGTGAACAACGCTCAGTTCCTGCCCTTGAAGAACTCAAGTCCTAGCAGAGAAGATCATGGCAATACGTAGACCATTCCAGAAAGGGCAGTAAGCAGAGCACTGATAGGATGGATATCACAGACAGTACAGGGCAGGGTGTTACAGAGCTAAGGAGGGGCACCCACCCCAGCCTGGGATGGAGAGGACGTGTTAGCAAAGGCTTCTGCAGCGCTCCAGAAACAATGAAGTCATCTAAAGACATGAGGTATAAATTTTCAGCTGTTTATTTAGTGTCTTTCCCACCAACCAATTGCAATATTTTATAGATAAAGAAGGGAAATGGGCAAGAAAAGGAGGAACATGAAAACACTCGGTGGTCAAGGCTTGACCCAGTGCTTTAAATAAGAGGTACTCTGGGATCCTAACTCCATCCTGTGGTAGCCCATCGGATGCTTTTCTTTAAGAAACACAAGCTTTGACCCTCAGCCTCAGAGTCATTCCAGCAGCTGCAGGCCAACCCCGGGGCTCCAGGTCGGGCTGGGGGTGGAGCCAGGGCACCCGCTCCATCACCCAGGCCTCACACTGCAGTGGGCTGGCTGCTGGTGGGCTGAGAAGACACGGGATTTCACATGCTGGTGCAATTCATGTGCATTTCAAGGACAATTATAAGAAAAATTATTTTATCCTCACCTGTGTGAATTAGAGATGATGATATTCGGTGCAGGCTTCAAACTCCATCTTTATTCATCTTTATTCAATTAATAACAGATTTTCTCAGTTTTTTTCTGATGATAAAAATAAAATCTTGATCATAGAAATTTTAGTTGATTGGATAAAAATGTAAAGCAAAAAAATCAAAATCACCCATAACATTACTTAGATGACCAAGTAAACATTTTGGATATTTGCCTGATTGCCGCTGATTAAGTCAAACATTGTGGCGAAGTGTCTATGTTTTAAGTCTCATGATAAATAACCTACAGAAGATTTTCTTCTAATGACTGGACCTCCTCATTC